CTCAAAAACAAAAACAAGGGAATGTTCTTCATAAATACTGCACTGGCCGACAGCCCTGGGATGTGGGGTTGCCATTTGGTTGAGTGGCAGACAGTGTTGCAGACCCTGATGATTACAAGCTGTATGAATGGCTGTTCCCATGGTTTTGTGGCTTTGTGCAATAGGAACAGTGACCCCACTGTAATCCATTGCTGTTTACATTCCAGCAGATCAGTTCCTACTGGAACCATGGGGAAGGAAGGGCAGGGGTTAAAGAAGACTCTCACGCACCATATCTCTACTACACCAACACACGCCTCACCCAAGACCCATACTAAGTAAACAATCTACAATGATACAATATGGAAGCGTTACACCATCTTATCAACCTGAGCAGTGAGCAGCATCTCGTTTGAGAGAACTTTTTAGAACTGAACTCCAATGACCAGGAAATTGGGTTTGGCCATTTTTTTTAGATTGTCTTTCACATGTCAAGAACACAGCAAGAGATTGTCCAGGTTAGATGACATCTTTGTCTGTCTTCTATGTGTATGGCACTGCATTTTTACCATGCAATATTTGTATCCTTCCTTTCTGTTTGTTTCTGTGTTCTTAAATGGGCAAATATGGAGCTAAATTCATGCCAAATCCTAACAAACAAAGAAAACATGTTTTACCACTTCCCTACCATACAGAACACCATCAACAGACTAATGCATTTTCACTCATCTTCCTATAATTCATCTGTTCCTCTTCCCTATTCACCTTTCAAACGCTAACTCGTGTGTATTGACTTCTCTCTCCACTCATGAGTTGACAAGGGTGAAAGACTTGGGGTCCCCTATAAGTAACCTTATTTGATGGGGTGGGGTGGTCAGTCTCCACTTATTCTCTGCATGCAGAGGGCCTAGAGGCTACAACACAACTCAGAGGCCTTATCCACTCATCCATCCCCTGGAAAGCCCTCCTCATTCCCAAACCAACACAAGACAAAAGCTCCTCAAAACTGGCTGGAAATAGCCCTTAATTTCATGTTTCACTGGGGTAGAACAGGGAGAGGTTTTGTGTGTGTTTCAGCCTGTCAAAAGGTCTCACAAGTCTGGGGGCAAACACAGGGCTGAGGTGGCATACAATCACGTCAGAGATAGAGGAGAGGCAGCAGAATAGTCGGCCTAGAGTTAGAGGAATGCACAAATGTGTGGCAAAATGAAAGGACGTTTAACAAAACTTAGTTCTTGGACAGTGCTGTGGGGCAGGGGTCCACTATTTGAATTCCAGTAAACAGGAAACAATTTCAGCTAAGATGAAATGAGAATGACTTCAACAGCTGAAACGTCATGAGAACATCATGTTCTTGTTGGAATAACAGTGGAGTGAGAGGAAAGGAGTGAACTTCGGTCAATACAGTGTAAAGGCAAATGCAATTCGACTCTGAATGGGTCTTTTGTGTAGTGCAACTCAATAGGTAGCCTCGTTTTATTTGCAGGTATACTGTGCTTGTTCACTCTGAACTCAAAGACATTAACTAACCAGCATGAGAAAACGAAGTGCAAAGTCTGTCTGAGCACCAGCCTTGAAAATAAAATGAGGAAACATTTGCAATAATACTAAAAATAATTATACAAAAAACTAAGGCTTTGCTTCAGTGCAGGCTCAGATACCACAACAGAGATTGAGACACAGTAAAAGAAGAAAAAAAGAATCAGCCAAGATCATATGATGAGGGGATGAAAGGTGTGTGTGTTTGAATGTGGCAGCTAGAAGAGGTTACAATTAGGTCAAAGAATTGTCAGTAGGAGCTAGGAGTTGTGTGGGACTTTTAGGACCTCACAGCGAAGCAGTTATTAGAGTGTGGGTGTGATTATTTTAAATCGCACTGATGTCATCTAAGTGGCTTTGTGGAGCTGGATAGTTCTTTACACCCACATGCCCGCACCACGAAGTGATAATGGATTTTGCGAGTGTATGTGTGTTTCTCACATCACACTGCATACATAGTATGTTCATGATTCCATGTCCAGAATCAACAAATGACTGCAAAACCTGAACCAAGTTGAAAACGGTTTCTCCTTGCAACACCTGTTCTTGACATGGCCTCTACAGTCAAGCACCCTCGGCCCCAGGTGCAGTCACTCTCTCCCTCACACACACACACACACACACACTCAAACAGAAACATGTGCAGCTCGGCATAAACTGTAACTCTGTCCAACCCCAGCCTTGCACATTTGTTTGGATGCTGTGTCTGATGGGTTTTTTTTTTCCGGCTACTGTGGAAAGGCGGCCCGCTCACCATATGACTGTAGCTCAGAGACAACCTCAGCCCACACACTTGTCTTCTGCTTCCAGAGTGTTCTGTCCTGTGTCCCTAAAGTATGAGCAGAGACAGCCAGAGCTCTCCACAAAACAGAGAATAACTCTGTTCCATGCTACACATGCTATGGTCAACTGTTGCCGAACAAAGGGACAAAACACGTTGCCTTGGCAACACCCCTGAAATAATTGTGCTGGGTGTCTCTAAGAAAATCTTGCTAGTACATTCAGCAAACAATGGAGACTGAAATGACAGTGGATTTTGTGACTGAATTTATCTTAAAGGATACTGTGCTAAAATGCTTAGATACATTTCAACTTCTTAAGGGATGTGCCAAGAACGATCCACTAAGGCTGAACTAAGACATGGCAGCACATGTTCTATGCAAGCCAATATTTTCAGCTATTTACCATCTCTGTCCTTTCATCCAGTGACAGAACACATTTTCTCTTTATCTTGCTCGTACTGCAGCAAGGTTCTCAGCTTTTTGCCACTTGTCCCTTGCTTGATGGCAGTGGTGTGTCGCGTTGGGTGTTCACCGTAGGTGGGCAAACCCAAGTTGTGATCTCTCCCAGGCTTTTTCTAACCCATTCAATTCCCCCAGAGCTATGCCACATCCTGCAGGTTTGGACCACAGCCCATCTGGGTTTGGTTAGACCCAAGACACAAGACCCATAAAACTCGGCCGAGAGGAAAACAGAGGGGCGCCTCCTCATCTACAGCCCTCACCAGTGTTCTTCGATGGGATCTCTGATGTGGTCAGGCACAATGTTACACAAGCGAAAGCGGGCAGTTTGTAGGGTTGACCTGGTGTCACTCACAATAAAGCTTTAAACTAATCCTAATGTCAGTCTTTTTCATGTGAATGGCCCATTTTAAATGTAATATGCATACACATTAAAGTGAAGCAGCTGAAGATTTGCACCGGATATGTATGCAAATTAGCCAAGTTTGTACAGCTTTTTGTCCAACATAAATCACATTATTCTAATTTGGATTGTGAAGCAAGTGAGGATCTATATTTAGTGTCACTTGATATTTCCACCCCAGACCCTGCTACCCCCCTCTCCTTTTGATCCTCCATTCAGAAGGGAGATGAAAAGATGAAGAGTGACATCCAGAGAGAGTGGTGAATGGAAGGAGGACATCCTTTGTCTCTTCCTGTAAACACATCATCCATCCTTCTCATGTCATCATTCTCCACCAGTGCCTCACGAATACTATTTATTGGCTACAATTTAAAGACAGTACAGTATTTACTTCCATATGTTGTGGATAAAATGCTAGGATAAGGAAGATCTTCACTGCTCTTGGAGGCAATAATAGCCCAGCCAAATAACAGGTGCCAGATTTCTATTGGGTGAATGCAATAACATTGAGAAAAATCTATAAGCATCCCAGCCTCTTCTGCTTCTGTTGCTTCTGTAATAAACACAGCGTCACAATCGAAATAAGGCTCAGAAAAAAAAACTTTTAATGATCCCTGCAGGGTATATTTTTATTTACATGCAGTAAAGATGTCAAAGAAGCAACGAAGCAAGCATTTTAAAGCACATCCCCCACTTAGAAAAAAGGCTGTCAAACACTGCTTTAGGTCAATCAATATACAGTGTGCCCACATGGTGCACTGTATATAGAACTGAAAAGCTATACGTTTGTGAACAAGTGACCTTCAAAACCTGCATTGAAATAATAGGCATTCAGTCATACAGTTCTTTAATAATTGTATGTATATATTTGATTACCTACACCGATTAAATGTACAGTGTGTAGAATTTATATCTAGTGTTGAAATTGCATGTTGCAGCTGAACACCCCTCACCTCACCCTCTCCATCCAAACATGAAAAAGAACCTGTGGTAGCTTCAGTTGTCATAAAAACTCAAAAGGTGTTTTGTTTGTCCAGTCTGGACGGCAGTAAAAAACATGGCGGCCTCCGTAGAGAGGACCCCCTCCATGTAAATATAAAGTATTTACATATAAAGGCCCTTTCCTGGGGTTAAGAAAACTACAATTCATACAATTTAGATGAAACTAACTATCGTGAGGATTATTCTACATTAAATTTCTGCCAATAGTTTCCTTTCACCCAAATCCTACACACTGGACCTTTAATATCACTACAGACATTAATCTCCCTGTGTTTGAGTGGTTTTTCCAGTTTTTTCTCTCATAACAGGAAGTTGCCACGGGGCTCTTGCACAATGTGTTAGCCACTAAAACAAACACACACTGCTCCGCACATGACTTTTAGTATCAACACCAAGTGGTGTCACTTCATTCCTTTTGACACCACAGTGCTAGTTGGCTTAGTGTTTAACACATTCACTAAACACTGTTGAATGTAAGAAAGAAAGAAAGCACAGGTGTGAACGCTGTGGCAACTGCATGGTCAACTTGCAGTGAGCCCACTACTCTCTCCATGAAGGTCTGAGATTACAACACTAGGAACAGAATAAGTGTACTCACAAATAAACTATTGAATGACAGGTTTTTAAAGATTAAAAAACATCTCTATTATTAAACAATAGAAGAAACTTTCAGTGAGCTCATTTTATAAAGGTAGGTATACAGCATAGTATTGTATTTACTCAAATAGACTGCACCAACAGCTATTATTTGATATCAGATCATTATTTAAACATCTGGTTAAATGTCCAGGTTTATTGTGTTTAGAAATCTCAAAACAAACAAAGCCTTGACTCACCATTTCATCCAGAGCATAGCGAAGTAAGCCATGTTCGTAGAGGATGAAGAACCTCCTCTGCCATTTCTGTAAAAAAAAATTAAATGAGAGAAATTCTTCAATTAATGACACGGTCACTAGAGTGTGGATACCTCAGGCAAAAATGTTGAAAAGACGGTCAAGTTCGGGTCAGGTTTGGTCAAGTCAGCTGGGCGACATTCTTGACTTTTGCCACTGCGCATCACGTGATAGTAGCCCATCGAAATATTTTCGCCAACTCACTCTTCATTGAAATATTTTCCCTCATTTTAAAAGGGTGCAGGACGTTACTTTGGCTCACAAGGTTTTGAGATGGCTGGACAACATATTTTTGAGTAAGCTGGGCAACATATTACCATCATTTGGTTGAAAATTCACAATAATTTATTTTTAAGATTGTTTTTTCACAAAACTGCAAGAGGAAAAAAGGCCTGTGCAGCATGCACACCAAGAACAGGAAATATCCTATTGTTTGGTTTTTTTTAATCAGATCCCTCTCACAGTTGATACAAGATGCATGTGAACTGATATCTGACAATGTTGTGTCATTCTGCCAACTGAAGAAGATTAAACGTATCATATTTCTGGAACTACAAGGTCAGATTTAACATAGAGGGGAGTCATTTCATCTCTGGCTATTTTATTCAAATGACATGGTAACAGCTTCCACTGATATTTTTCAGCTCTTTGCTGTCCCCCCTCTTATCTTGATGCACCGTTTTGTCTCCGTATTAAATTACCTGAGCTCCAATTCCAACAGAGCCCAATCCATGAAATATTGAGAAGTGCTTTGTAACCTAAAAGGCACTGGAAGGTCTCAATGGTGCTGCTGACACAATCAATGGGGATGTTAAAGCCAGAATGTAGTCATATTGAGGGGCTACTAAAGATCAATTACATCATTCAATCATCAGGTCTGTACCAGCAACCTGTCACACTACAGTGATCCTAAAACATGACTCATCCAAACTCATCAGCACTTTTTCTCTGTCATTTGTTTGTTGGTCAGTCAAAACCTGACCAACATTGCTCACCTCAGCACTACATACAGGCCACCAATTATACCCCCACAGTGAAAGGCTGGTGGTAAGAATAGGCAGAGCACATGAGTGATGATGTCAAAGCAGCAGCAGACTGTTGACAGTAGTTGAGCTGAAGGATCTAGAGGTCCTTTTTTTAAAAAAAAAACCCATATGGAATCCATCAGTGCTGCTGTGAGAACTTTTCCCTTCTCCTCCCCCACATTCTCCCTACTCCTCTTTGGGATGCACCACCACAGTATAATCCTGGAGCTGATAAAAGAAGTTGTGCGACCGAGCAAGGCTCCCGTTACATGATGCTAAGGGAGCAGGATTTGTGAAACAAAATCAATATTAGGATCATTATTGCCCGAAAATGGGGTGTTTTCTGAGCCACAGGAAACTGCTGAGTCCGCGAAACAGCTACAGAAGCTGTGACACGGACCTCCTGCTTCTCAGATGAATCAAATTTCATCTTTCTCATTTGTGTTTAACGCAAATTTGTCTCGCTATGACCAGAAGCTACGGACTATGAGTCAACAAAGCTTGTCCCCTTTCATGGATATACAACATTGTATTCATACATTTCGTGAACCAAATGTTCCTACATTAGAAGGAAGCCAAAAACAATGCTTACTTCTGATTGTAATTAATTTTGTGCCCAGCAAAGGTAAACACTTATGAAACCACTTACTCGAGATCTGTGTAAGGGATTGTCAAAGTTTGTTCCCTCAGGTGCCAGCAGCAACCATCCTCCATATATGGGTTTGGCCTGTTGAGGGGAAAACACAATTACAGTGTTAAAGCAAACTCATAAACAGAGACATGAACATATCGTCTAACATTTCAATCATGCACATCTTTAATTCCTTGTAGATACAACTGCTGGCTAGTCTCAAAGTTTAGACTCCAATATCTTCCAGCAGTGAACTACCACACACACATTTTAGTTCAACTGCAGGAAGGTGTGTGTTAGTCACTAGCTGCGTTGAATTGACTGCAGGCTACATTCTCCAGCTGGCTGTATTCCAGAGCACCATGCTGCCCTGGAAAAAAAAAAGGAAAGGCTAACACACATGATTTTCCCTCTGATCCTCTAAGTGGGTGGAGGGGGCAGCAAGAGGCAGAATTTAGCAGGAAAAACAGTGGATGAGAAACAGGAGAGAAAAGTGGCACAGGGCCTGACAGCTTTTGTGGTTACGGATTTGCAATTCAAACTTGTTCTGAAAATACAAGTTGGCCTGACAGTCGTTCTTAAATAGTTCTGGTGCATACTTGAACCGTAGCCACACTAGTAGTCAGCAATTGTTTGCCGGGCAAAAAAATAAAGAATCCACCCTGCATTACCACAGTGTGGTTGAGTGTAAAAGGGGCACACATTTTACAAAGCGTTTACACTCATTTCTTACCTGCACCCAAACAGCTTAACAAATTAAGTCCCTTATGTAACTCACAACCACACTTCACCAATTCTGTGCACAGTAGCCTACAAATTAAGTCAAGCATTTACAGCCGTCTGGCACCTCCACATTCCTCTATTGGTGGTTTTGATTACAGTCATAACTTCATCCCATGTAAAGCCAAGTATAATCCCCCATAAAATCCTCGTTCACTTTGATTACAGGAGGTACAGTGCATTTCTCAGCCGAGTGACTCCGTAAACAATATGACATAACAGGCATTTTCAATCAAAAGTCCCGACTATGACCTTGAACAGTTAAGAGTTGGAGCAGACCTGCAAGAGAAACAACATTCAGACAAAGTTAGAGCTTTGAAAACCTTGATAAGTGAAGGCACACGTGAATAGTTGATGACTACAAGATATTTAATAATGGGGCTTCTAGAAAGCTTGAGATGGAATACAAAATGATACTGGGACACAGGGCTGCTTCCATTCTAGATCAACATTAGCCTATAACCCAAGGAGAAACACTGAAACTCAGCAGAGTTTACAGAAACGTCCCATCTCTCCTCACATGACCTGACAGCAGTCCTAATGGGGGGGCCTCTTAAGCGAGAGAAATAGACGAGGTGAATGTAGGTCATTTTTCACTCTTCAATGGCTCTGTGGTTAAAACAGAGTAATTTGTGTGTGTTCATGTGTGTTCTCATCTGTGTGTTCAATTCGCAATGGCCCCGAACTTCTTATTCCCTCCCATTATAAATGACTGCGTAATACTGCACTGATTGAATGGTGTGTTGGTGGGGAGGGTGAAGGGCCGACAACAGTTCTGGCTCAGAATATTCACAGACCTTCAGTATCTTCTTGTAGCAGGACTTTAAAACAATGAACGACACAATCTGCATGCCGTCAGTTGTCAGTCCCTGACAGCAAAATGATAACCTTTCACTAAGTGCAGTCCACACAGGAGAAGCATGATAGCCAGTGGGTCAGAAATTCCAGTTAGAAGGACAAAAACCCTCAAGACTATTTCCATCCCAACACGGCGGCCACCGATCATGATGGAGTACATTATAGGAGAACGTGGAGCCATGTCCTCACCCTGGCATGTTGAAGATATCACCAGCTGAAGGTGAAACCAAACCTGTCCGGTTAAACAGCTTACCAGAAGGAATGATCATGATACAGGCCAACAGTGTTGATCAGTGTAACCTGATGCCACCATTCAAAACCTGCCTATACGAACAACACAGATCAGCAGTGCAGTGGCTCCACACACTGCAAGTCCATAAAATGTGCAAATAGACACAACTCATGAAAATAGAACCCCCCCGAGAAGACGAAATTGCTAGTGTTGGGAGTATACACTAGTGTTGGTAGTATTTGCTAGTGTTGGTAGTATTTGCTAGTGTTGGTAGTATACGCTAGTGTTGGTAGTATACGCTAGCGTTGGTAGTATACGCTAGTGTTGGGAGTATACGCTAGTGTTGGTAGTATTTGCAAGTGTTTGTTGTATACGCTAGTTTTGGGAGTATTCACTAGTGTTGGTAGTATTTGCTAGTATTGGGAGTATATGCTAGTGTATTTGCAGCAGGTTTTCCATTTACTTTAACATATATATCATCCCTGTTTTAGCATCCTTGCACTGGCTGTCTGTTTATTTCAGGATTGATTTTAAATTAATTTAATTACTTTTAAAGCCAGGCATGGTCTGGCCCTTCCCTAGGTTTCAGACCTTTTTATCTCCCTTCGAGCCAGGAAGCAGTCTAATGTCTAAGTGTTTCTATTTTTACTCTGTTTGTGACTTTCATACTGTTTGTTGTACACTGTGTTATTGCATTGAAAAGTGCTATATAAATAAAGTTGTTATTATTATTAGTGCATTGTAACTGTAATTGTGACAGAGGCAATAATGTGGGACAGAATGGGATTCAAAATAAGCATTATCGCAGGTTTTGACATTACAGCTAGAATTGAAATGCTTTCATGGAAATGACGTTAACCCAAATAACACCAAATGACAGCAGGGTCCTGTGCTGGAAGGCATGGGGCTGGGTGGAGGCCTATATCTGCATGAATTAAGGTCAATAAGCCCCCTTGAGCTGGAAACTAATTATGTCCAATTAACCCAACCTTTGCACTTCATGGTCTGTTGACATGAGCAACCCTTTGAAACGTGCACATCAAACTGAAACACACACACACACGACAATAAACAAGACAAAACCACAAGCATGATGAAACGTGAAATACAATCACCTGATTGAAGTCCTCATCGTTGAGCAGATGGGATTCTCTGGGCTTGAAGCAGTTCTGGCATTTACTCTTGTTGAAAATGTTGGCTTGAAATTTCCGGCAGGGATTCTCTTTGAGTGACATGATTGATTTAAAAATTATAAAAACATAAGATGACAAAACCAAAAAATCCAATAAGACTGGATCCGGATGAGCCGCGGATGGAGAAATATGAAGCAGAGGAAAAAGTCAAAGTCCGTGAAAGTAGTGCGCGGTTCACCTGTGCTCGGCTGCCTGAGGCGGTGACTGACCTCCGGGTTAAGTGATATCTATGACGGTCATGGCTGGAGCTGACCTGCGAACTTTTTCTTGTAGCACACGGGCTCCGGAGCAGAAGTTGTCGGCTAAAGTTCAGGACAGATGTGAGCGGTGCTTCTCCTCCTCGTCCTCACCCACGACCTCCGGCGGGGTGGCGGCCGCGTCTCACAGGTGACATACCGGGCCTGGAGCTCGCTGCGAGGGTCCCGTGTGCCTCCATCGGGCGGACTGGCTCAAACCGAGGGAGGGAGGGAGAGTCCACCTCGGCCCCCTCCTCCTGCTGCTGCTCTCTCTGTATGTGTGTTTCTATCTAACTACTGATACCGCGGGCATTGCCGTTAAACCTACTTCACGCGTCTAACGTCTCCCGTCAAGGCCGAACGCCGGTGTCCAACTTTAGCAACGCCATAACGCGGCTGTCACGGCGGTGGTCCCGCAGCCCCTCTGCCCGGAATGGTTCGCAGTCTGCGGTCGGTGTGTTTTCGTAAAAAACCGTCGCTCGGCTCCGAGCAAGAGTGGTGGGGGGCGGTGAGCGACAGACACCGCGGCCAATCGGGTGCAGCAACGCGCCCACAAACCGAGCCCGTCGTCCAATCGGAAGCCTTGAAAAAGCTCCAGTACTTTCGCCCAGGCTCGGTGGGCTTTAAAGAGCCCGTGACAACAAACACTCACTTCCATGTTGTCAATAACAGACTGGGCTCACGCTTCTCATCACTGACGTCCAAAACCACGACAGCACCGGACAACAGAAAGTTAACTACATGTCTGAAACATGCCGCCCCAGTATTTCACATTTAAGAACTGGTTGTGTAAAAGCCAAAACTGTGAAGATTTGTAAACATGACTGATGAACAACACAGCATCTGATGTGATTGTATAAAATGATCTAGGTCCCCACAACATGAGCAACACATGGGCCACACACAAAGAAAAAGAAAGCAAGAACAAATCAAATTATGGAATTATTGATATACAAATTACAAATACTGCAGTACAAATACTTTTTCCTGGGCTTTCAAGGTAGTAAATAGTACCATTGGAAGCGTGTGTGTAATAGCAAATAGTGTGTAATGCACTTTACTAAAGTATATTATCATATTTTATATCATCATGTAGAATAATATATTTTACAGTTTTGTATTATTATTATTATGTATTCTAATTTTGCCTAATTGGAGAAAGTTCCTGGTTATTATAGGTCTCTCTCTCTCTCACACACACACACACAGACACACACAGACAGGTACACAGGTTTGCACAGCTATCCTTATTCGATCTTCCATTCATTCTGAATAGCGTAACCAAACCTTATCCTTAACCTTAACAATAATAAGTTCATATCTAACCCCTCGTCTTAACTTAACCACAATTCACATCTGACCTTAAACCCTAATCAGGACCTCAGAAATTAAGTGTTGTCTCATTAGGAGCAGGCTTTTGTCCCCATGAGGTCTACTGGTTCTGACAAGGTCAGTTTTTATGCTGGAAAAGGTCCTAACAAGGCAACAAAAATGAACACACACACGCACAGATCTTTTGATCTCTTTGGAGTGTGTACCTGCATAAATCCTGTGCAACACAAAAGCATTCCTTTATAAACTAAAACTAAAGTGACAAACAAATGACAATAATCCTGCAAAAGGCCCCCACAGCAAATACAATTAGTGTTTTATACAAGTAATAGTAACACAACATGAAACAGTGTAACACCATTTTCTCTTGACAACAACAAATGGGTGAATAAAAGAAACAAACCCTGCTTCTCATACATTTCATGATGATTTAATATGCTTACATAATCCATTCTCTCTTGTTACTGGGGCTGATATAACAAGTCAAAGGAAGGGGTCATGGTGACGGCTATTTTTACCACTATCAGTTCTCCTGGTACTGCTGCAGCTGCTGAATCAAAGTTAAAGAAAAAAGATGTCTCAAAGATACTACTCAAATAGCAGCTTAAGCAAAGTCTGGCAGGTGTTAGATTCAAACACTGAGTAATCCTGCTGCTGTGCTGCGGTTCCAGAGCACCACCTGTTGGTTTTAAATTTCCATAGGCTGGATCCCAGACTGGGTCCAAAAGGGGGAAAAAAATGAGGTCTACAAATACGTCTGAGACAAATTATGTGTTAGTGATAGATAGCAGGTGGAGTTGAGTCAGAGTATTTTGCAATTCTTCAATCCTGCAGCTGTTTTTACGTGTACATAAAAGATATGAAGTGTTGCTTAATGCCATGACGTTGGTAATATGTCTTGTTTGTCAGTGTCTCGGTACAACACCTGCTCTCTAACCTGAACTGACTCACATTCGAATGTTATTGCCACTACATGTATTCCATTAAGTTATCATGCCACAAAGTACAGTCGTTAAAAATAAACAGACAATAAAAGGCCGCAGCTTTTAGGAAGTGCACATTTTTATTTAGGGCATGAGGTGGTATGAACAAGCATCAATGTTAAGGTAGCAGATACAGTTAACCACAGCCAAGTCATGGTGAGACATAAGCAAAAAAACATCTTAATTCATTAAAGAGTCCAAAAAAGCTAATTTGTGTTAATCTATTGACACAATAATATATTTCTTACATATTTGCTATATTCTGGTTCGTGCTTAAACATAGAAAAAACAAAATAAGTTCACTGGAAATTGTTGGACCAACTTGAAAAATTGCATCAGTTAGCAACACACAAATGACATTCTAGGTATATTAACACAATTGAAAACTTTGATTCAGAAAAACTATTAATTTATATGTCACCTATAGAAGTTTTTTTTAAGTTGGTAAACAATTTTCTTTGTTCAGAGTATTAACAACAGTAACAAAAAAATACATCACATACTAAGGGTTAAATCCATTCCATTGTCTTTACACTATGAATCAGATCTCATGGGAAGCTTTATTCACAAAGAGCTGGACCAAAGGCTTTAGATTGGACAACTCATATCTTTAACCAATTTGTACATGAATTTGTCCGAACATCAGTTGTCCTCAACAACTTTGTGTTGTTGAAGTCAATCCAAGATTCTGCACAATTGTTCCTTAGCAACATACCATGGGAGGATTGAAGTGATGTGGCGCCCTCATCAGGACCGTGAATACATACTAGCAGCACATTTTTATTTTGGATAATATGGTCACTTGGTTTAGGTTAGTTCAGGTTAAGGTATGACTTCAGCTTTGGGTCTGAAACAGGTAGCCCTATTTTTTGCTAAGCTACATGAACACCACACAACATTCTCCACATATGAAGAATGTGCAAAAATTACATTCAGCTGAATCGTCCAATATGAACGTAATTCCTGGGGAGACAGGGCTGACGTAGGAAAAACAAATCATGGCTATGTATAACTGAAGCAAAGGTTATAGCTGAGTTGAGTGTTCATATCTGAGTTAAGGTTATCCAACTTTAACCATCATTCATTACAATGACCTCCACAGACTTGATGGGTGGCCGTCCTAAACCTGTGACTTGAGCTGTTCTAATGCTCTTGAATAAATGTCCGATAAATAAAGACGTGCATTAGGCAGCAGTCAGAAGAGATTTGCATTCCTCTTCATGTCATTACGTTTCCAGAGAGGGAGTGTGTGGAACTCTTGGATCTCCATGCCAAAGATCTCGTAGAAAGAAGCCGGGGAAAGGTGGCACTGCAGAGGAAAGAAGAGAGAGTGGAAGAATGAAGTTAATGTGGAAAAGCTGCACTGTGGCTCAATGACAGGTTCAATTCTTTAAAACTTTATTGCACTATGAGAAAAGAAACTCTCTTGTTCTTTTTCCTTCCTTCCTTCTGGTTTCTTTCGCTTGTTTTTTCTATCTTTCTTTTTTGTTTGTATTCCTCTTTTTCTTTCTTTTCTATAGTGTCTTATTTTCTTTTTAGAATATTCTTTTTTCTGTCTCTCTTTCCTTTCTCATTATTCTTATTTCACTTTCACTGTCACTTTCTTTCTTCTCTCCCTTTCCTTCATTATATTTCTTTCTCCCCTTTACTTTCTGTTCTTATTTCTCTTTCTTCTTTCCTTTCTTTTTTTCTTTCTTCTTTCTCTTATTCTCTAATGAAAATGTAGTGTAAATTGCTGCATGTGGACTGCATTTCCAAATTCTAAAATGAAACTTATGCTTTTCTCACATTTCACTTTACCTCCAGTCTCGTTCTGTTGACGTCCCTTGGCAGCTTCACTCGTCCTCGGTTGCTCACTGCGAGCATTTCATATGGGTAGACCTTGACAAAACAAAGACTGGTTGAGAATGCTGATCACAAACGAATCACTAAAACAAAGACAAAGACATCCCCAAGCTATTGAAATACCGATTGAGTTAGAACATCATAAATATGCATCTATTGTAAAACCACTACACAGTTAGCAGGGATCAGTGCTTTAAGCTTGAGAGATGAAAACACTGTCAAGGACCTGCATGCGTCAGCTTCTCACATACACTGCTGCAAAGGAAGGGTGATAATAAAGTTTTCCTTGAAACCTCGGTGCATTCAGCACTATTCTACAGCTGCTAAACAAGCTTGTGTTTGAATTCTGTCCCGAGCTCCACTGAATATATTTACCTCTACAATAGAGGTTATGTTTTCACCCCGCTGCTTGTTTGTTGATTGGTTTATTTGTAGGTAAGATTTAGCAAAAACTACACGAGGGATAACCAGAATTGTTTCAACTTTCTCTAACATTGCGAGAAAGGAAGTTTTTCAACATTTTCACTGATTTCCAGTCATTCATGGACCTTGATTGGTGCAGTGTGATCGAATTTAAGGGAACTGTTGGGTCTTGGCGAAGGTATGCATTCTAGTGAGTGTCATACTAGTTTTTGTTGTTCTTACACGCATCTAACATGACAAAATATTTGCATTGAAAACCTTTCTCCTACACAGGGAATTAAATGACGGCAAAAACATGAATATACAAATAATACTTGCTTTTGGTTCCAACAAATTAGGCATGGACATTCCTCTGTCCAGTCTTGCTAATGGATGTTGACTGTCATAGAAGAGCTACAGAATGAAACAAACACATGCAGCAGCAAAAAGTCATCACTTCAGAGCTCAAAGCTACAAATATGTTAGTAAAGCATGTTTATAGGTTGTGTAATTAAAGAGTCAGTTGTGCAAATCAATGAAGATATGAGTGAAACTGTTACTGGACCCTGAGTTCACTGTTTATTTAAACATTCAGATCGGGCAGGGCAATACATAATAAACAAATCAATAATTATTGCAATATACATTTCTGTAAGAAGTTCAATATATATTTATATTGTGCATATGTACTCGAGCTACCTCAGATTGTAAAATAATTGTTTGTCATTCACTGTCCATAAAGAAAAGCAAAAAAACAACCTTCACTCAGGAGCAAAACCTCTTTACACCTAAAAGAAATAATTATATGACAGTGATGATAATTATGAATATCGAATAATGTGAAAGTGTTTATCTTGTTATAAGTTTTTGCCGTATTGTCCAGCCCAACATGAAGTTGCAGACAGTGAGATAAGGTCAGGAGAGGGAAGCATTGATGGGGTTTCAAGATCACATAAAAAGCTCCATTCAGTTCCTATTCACATACCTTCAAATCTGAAAGGCAAGGAAAGAAAGCAAAAGCAACACACGATTAATTTCCATTCATTGATTTAATATTGGAGTGATAATGATAAATAACAGTGACCTAAACTTACTAACCTCTGAATCTGTCACTGTTGTAGTGGGAGAAATCCGCTGACTGAGGCTTAATGAAGCAAACACATGAAAACACCAAGTTGATTTCATTTCTATTTCATCGCACATTGTCATTAAAAATCACCAATACTAACATTAACAACTCTTTAAATAGGAGGTGAATAATGACCAATATGTACAATATACTGTATGACCAATAGGTAAAGTGATCATAGGTAAGTGATGCTGCTCCTACCGGATGGAGGCCGTTGCGACCGTATCCGGGCAAAGATACAGTTTGTGATGTGGATGAATTTGCATCTAAGAGAAAGTGAAGCAGCAGAGACTGTAGATTAATGAACCACGAGACGTCTCACACTCAGTCTCAGTACTTTGCCCAGAGTAGACTTAGTGAACGTCAACGCACCAGGTGTAAGCACCTTGTCAAGTTCTTTTCTTAGCCTTTTACTAATTGTTCTGTAAAACGGTCTTCTCAGTACTACTCTATTTTTGTACTTAATTTTCCCATAAAACCTTTATTTCACATATATATTTATTTTATTATTTTATTGTTTAGGTTACCTTCAAACTGTTCACCAGATAATTTGCCGTCAACTTAGATGCATTGAGTGCTGATTTATAGTTTGACCTCACATGACTGTTATGGCCTCAGACACTGGAGGAGGGTTGAGATCCTTCTCAGGGATTCAAATAGACTTTGGCTGTGCTGTTGTCTGCTTGGTCTAATCAACCAGAACTATCTGACAGGACCTTGCATCAAACCGTGTTTAGATGTGCAAAACAACATAAACGTTAAATTAGCTATAACTTATACACAAATATTTTAGAACGCAACTGAGTTAAACTTGACTAGTTGGTAATTTTACTGTTAACTCATTTAAAAATCATTGAAGTTTTAAAAACTAAACGATGAAAAAATCAAACTGTACCTTGCTGTTTGTAAATTGGAGGCCTCCTATACATGTGGAAACCTTCATCTGCACAATGAAAACAATGACGAGTGAGCAGATAATTAATTCTAATATACTTCATGTCTCTGCAGCAACTTGTTGTCATATCATGTATTTTTCAAGCTTTTTCAAAAAGGTGCATTAGAGGTTTAGCATGCACATATTAACAGCATAAGATTTAAAGGTTAGCTTGCACAGCAGCATTATAACAATGAGCAACAAGCAAATGTTCAGTATGAGTAAATTCTGAAACATAGATTAAGTTAATGTAATTGTGAGTCTCAGGATGATTATCAAAATCAAACGTATTCACCAATAAAGACTCATTATCTGCTTATAATGAAATCTAGGGCCTGTGGACTGCGATTGAACATATGCCAGTGATTTCTGTTGAAAGCTTTTAAAATCTCATCTACCCGTGTGACGTAAAATTGTCTTCAAAGCGCACCACGGCTATAAACACCAGTTTGGTTTATTAGGAATAAGAAAGAAGCTGATTTTGCAGAAAAGGGGAAGAAAAGGAATGGAGAAGTTTTTTAGTCTGAGGCAGAAACAGATCTCCGACAGTTTGACCACTAGAGGGCAGAGACTCCGTGCCATCCCTCTCTGCATGTGTTTGCATATTGTTGTTATTCTGAAATAGCACTCACAACTAATTTAATGTAGGTAACTGCATAAGGTAGTAGGTCTCCTATTAAATATATGTGTTGGGGTTGAAAATAAAGAGGCAGCAGAGGGTTACCCTAACAGCAGAGTGGAGGAGGGGGGTTGCAGGAAAGGTCAGGGGTGAGGTGGAAGGTGGGGGTCTTACCTTTGGTGTGAGGGAGAAAGTGGGGACATAAAGGGGAAGTGGAGCAGGTTTCAGCGTTGCCAGAGAATAAAGAGGGAGAAAGCATCAATGCTGGATTGGGAAGTGGAAGGACGAGGAGGAGGAGGAGGAGGAAGAGGAGTCGTGAGGACAAAGAAAAAAGTGAGCATTGGACATTGGACATTGAATCTCTTCACCAAAGGTGACGTGAAGACTGAGATGATTTACGTCTAAGCGCTCCCCTCACCTGGCCTGTGGAAGTGCTGTGGAGATCTGGACAGAGCTGGAGTGTAGCTGTGACGGTTGTACAGGGCGTGAACTCCAAAAGATCCGTGGCTTGTGGATTTTGGTATGGTCTTCCTCATTTCAAAGCTCTCCTTGAGAACAGAGAGACCAAATTGTGAGGAACACAGTCCGAATCTCACACTGAGTGTTAATGTTCCTCTGGTACAAACTGAGTGTGACCTTTTATGTGTGAAGTTGATAAAGAAATAATTTACCTCTGTGGTTTCAGACACATTTCCTGTTGACTAGATGAGAAAGAGATTTGTATGTATTAACTCAATAACACTTCAATATACATATTGTTCAGGTAAAAGCTTGTATCTCTAAACAAAACAAAAACAGTCATGACATTCTTAGACTTTTTTAACCTCCACCGACAAGGTTATGTTTCCCCTTTAATTGTTTGATTGTGAGCAGGATTATGCAAAAACTCCAGGATAGATTTCCAGGAAACTTGGTGGAAGGATGTGGTATGGGTCAGGAAAGGCGCCATTGAATTTTGGTGTGGATCCGGATCAGGGGGCAGATACAGGATTTTTTTTTCACTTTCTTTGTCACATGAGATATGATGAAAAAAAAAACCCACATCTTTAGGGCACTGATATCTAGATCCAAATAAGAATCCAGATTGAGTGAATTTAAATGTGGTTTCACATAACTATTGTTACATCCATGATAAATGTACATTGACTTATTTTTTCAATGCATTAAACAAATTCTTAAAAATGTGACGTAAACAAATCCTGACAAACTAACACTATCGCTCCAAAACACATTTACAAACACATTTGTTAATTTTTCTTCAAGAATCTGATGCATTTTGGGCCAAATATGGTTAAATATGAAAACAATTCCTCACTTGATTTGCCTCATAAATCAAACCAAGACAAAGAAAAAACAACTAAACACCAAAACAATGACACACATACATGTCACTGGATAGCGTTGAATGAAGTTACCTCTGCAGGGTTTTGCCTTTCCTGTCTGCTGCCTTTGTTGTCCAAAGCAGGCGAGTTGTTGTTCACAGACTTATAGGATATCATATCAGGATACTCTATATCATGTATAGCCTTGACTCTGGGAATTGCCGCTAAGTCTCGGTAATCAATGATCTCATTATCTACTTTTGCCTGGGGAGCAGGACAGGGAGAGGAAAAGGAGAAGGAGAAGGAGAGGACGAAGGAGGGGTGAGGAGGACACAGAGGACGGGATCAGACAGTGCAAGTTAGGTCAGGTGAAAGGTCAAAGGTTGCTCATTACATCATTTCTAGGAGGAATGAAACTTTAATCCCACAGCACCATGTTGGATTGACTTTGGCACTTGAAATAAACAGAACGTCTACTGTAGGAACTATTTCTGATTTACTATAAATTGAATTTCTTTGTCGACCTATAAAAATATTTTTTTGTATGACTTGATGGGGGTAAAGTTCACTCCATTCAATAAACCAACAGGGTGTGGATGATACAAGAGTGGGTGGAGGAATAAAAGAACGGTCTACTGCCAGCACCACGTTGTTTTTCTAACCAGTGTCAATCTGAATTGTCAGCGCATTCAAATTGATGAAGCAAATAAATCTAAACTCTTCTTCAATGTGTGGTTGTTTTTCTCAGCGCATGAATAAATTGATTCAACATTCAACCACAATTGAACTTACATTTTTTTTCTCTCACAAGCAAGATGACACTAATTCCGATCAGTCAAGGTCAATGTGATTTACAGAAACTATTTTAATATTCTTCAAATTAGCTAATTTGCTAGGTGTATGCATATTCAGTTATAGTCAAAGAGAGATATCTTGCAAGAGAGAGACTTTGTCCATGCGACCCCCCTGTATGAACAAAGGGATAAATGACACGTGAATAAGCCCACGGTGAAGTGTGCACCATGGAAGACGCCGAGCAGGTGTTGTCAGCAAAACTTACGCAAATCGTTCGACCAGGACTCCCCGGGGTGCACGAGCCCGGCCTGGAACACGAGCTTTCAGAGGAGGATCTAGTGGGCTATGGACGAGAAAAATGTAGTTAGTTAGTTTGATTCCTATGATGATTTGAAGGAGACATTCTATGCTCATAATTTCGGTGTAGGTTATTACTTGAAAAGGTTACAGTTCATCTTCCTCACACTGACTATTGCTGCAGCTCCTTTTTTCAGCCTCTGTCTGAAACACTTGGTTTTAGTTCCTGTTTCTTTAAGGCCCTCCTCCTGATAATACCCAGTCTGCTCTGATTGGTTATCTTGATCCAGCACGGAACATATTGTTCTGTATTGTAATTTGGGCTTATTTGCACAATGATACCAGTCAGCAATGGCTATAACAGTACTTAGTAGAAAAAAAGCACAGTAGTGTACATTAAATTGTCCAGGTTCTTGCAGATTGCAAGGTTGGAAATGAACACAGCCAAGCATGCAGCACCGTCAACAAACAAAGCTCAGACCTACTTTTAAAAGGTTATGCACAAAATGCATTTTTTATCCCACATGATATATTGTAGCTTGTCTTAGTTATTCTTTAAAGCCAAAAAGTAAAGAGTTCTTGTTGCATGTGAAACAAGCGCATGTGGTTAATCTCAGACTCTGAGATTACAGCCGGCCTCACTCATGAAAACCGTCAGTTCACACTGCAGACTAGCTCCCAATATTAACCTTCAGTTCACGTGGGGGAAAAAAGAAATCAAGGCAGGGTGCTTTTGTTCTGCTGACCTGCGAGGGGAGAGAATGATTGAAGACACTGAAAAGCTAAAAGTCACTTTAGACAACGACTTACACAGATTGAGATATTAATGGTTTATTTTGAGAAAGCTGTAGCAGTGGTATCATGTCATGCTGCCTCTAACATATGAAATGGAATCTGAAACATTGTATACAGTTGAGTGTTAAGTTTAGGAGAACTCACCCTGTAACTGTCCTCAGTTCTGCTGTTGTCTCTGCAGTCCGGGTGCCACACTGTCGACCCTGTGAACCATTAGCAATTAACTGCTGCAGCCAAAGTAAAGTAAAACATTATGTGACGACAGTGTGTTGAGATCTTACACCGACCTTGCAGATACATTTCTTCTCCCTCTGTGAACATTTTTTCACATCGGCTGCATCTTGCACAACTCGGGTGATAATGTTTGTCTCCTGCCTGCAGCAGATAATGAGACAGGCAAAAGCATCACATATCATCACAAACACAAACTGCACAAAATCTCTATCACAATTAAGTGTTTTTGAGATAAAACCAGGAGAGTGACTCTTCAACAAAAGTAAACCTGTCTTACCTCGAGGACCTTTCCTGTTATAAACTTGTGACATGCCTCACACTGTATCCCAAACTTAATCTGGTAGTCTCTCTCACAGTAAGGAACACCATCTCTGAAAGATAAAAGATTTAAAATTAAGAACACATCATCTTATCCATATATTATTACATAGACTTCAGCTGTATTCCTGGTATCATGGTGAATTTTCTAGATTTGCATTTACTTGCTGATGTATTCTCCGCTCAGCACTTTCCTGCAGGATTTGCACTTGAAGCAGCCGAGGTGCCACTGGCCACCCAGAGCTAACAGAGCCTGGCCGTTCTTGATGTCTCTACCGCAGCCGGTGCAGTCTGAAAACACACGCAGACTCAGTGAGGGTAAACATTGCACATCTGAACAGGCTCTGGTCCTGTAATTTAAAAAAATTGAGCTTTAAAAGAAAGAAAATCATACTAAATATTCAATACATCAGATATTTGACAGACCTGTTGGACAGATGCAGCATCTCATTTCCTTTTTATTATTTCAGGTTTATACACATGCAGTTTGTGCTTTTTCCTATTTATTTTTTGTACAATCATGCAGAGAAATCCTCTTAATCCTCTATTGATCCCTGCTGTATCTGCTTCATGTTGAATTAGGTCAAGTTGAGGGGGAGCATTGAGTTGAGTCTCTTAATCCATACTGAGTTGTTGTCACTGTCCAGATTTGTAAAGTATGACCAGATTTGAAAGGTAACTTCAGCTCTTTGTTGTGGAAAATGTATCCAGTCTACCTGGAGGAGGTCTGACAGGAAATAGGGACGATGTAATGCAAATTACAAATCTGTTGGATAAAAGAATGAAATGCAAACTCTCTGGTCTGAATTAAAGGAGACATATTATGCTCATATTCACATTCATAATTTTAATTTGGGTTATCACTTGAAAAAGTTCACATTTTCTTATATTAAGAATACACTTTCTCTTACTGTCCATTGCTGCAGCTCATCTTTTCAGTCTCTGTCTGCAACAATTTTTTTTATTTCTGTCTTTTTAAG